CCCCCCCCCCCCCCCCCCCCATTCAATCCTTCACCGATGTCCAAATTTCTTTTCCGTCCATCATGTCACACAAAACTCAAACAAGTGCCGTGAGGCAGCATTGTAGAAAGCAGTCGCTACGTTATACCCCTTGGTATCCCTCAATTTTGCTCCTCCGTTTACTTGCAACATCCCGAGTCGCCCATATTCTTGTTTGAGACCTCCAATTTCCTCCCCATGAATGTAAAATACAGCCAACTAACGTTACAGCACGAGTGCCATTTTCATCTTCAAACATAATCCGTAAATATTTGTGGCCATGATTTGTACTGACCGCGGTGGTCTGACCAGAGAAATGTAAAGTCATGAATGCATTCGTCGGCTTCCGATGAAGGCGCCGATAGCTTAAAGATGCGATGTCGAATTAATAAAGAAAAGAAACAAAAACAAAATGCATTTGTTATGTGCCACAATATTCTCGAAAGAGCCATATGAACACAATGCACTGATATGCGAATGGTGTCGACGTTAGATGTCAGCCAACGCCAAGCACAGAAGCGAACAATCAAGTTCATAGTGAGTGCCTAGAAAGGGAGAAAATATTGCACAAATTTCTGGCTGCGATCCTGATAGACCTCCTAGATCATCTCGTTCTGATGCAGGCCAGTTGACATGTGCTTGTTCCTTGAGTCAATGGGTGAACGCAGCACATCAGGGTTGAATGACACTGGTGGGGGAGACCTGAGCTGTCGTGGCATTGGAACGCTCTCATAAGGAGCCTCAAATGGAGGAGACCGCACATACTCCTTGCGACTGCGACTGGCAGATCGAAGTCTCTCAGTAGCCTTGTGGATGCGTCCTGAGATGCTGCTGTCTCCGATGCTTCGGCCCCGGTTATGACCCTTGTGGGAGGCCGGGACTGGAGGGCTGGCCTCCGAAGCTTGGTCGTTGCCAGAAGACAAATCGTCGTCCATGACGATCTCAATCATCCCTGATGCAACAGCGCCCGCCTGTTGAGGTCGGTGGGCATGTTGAAGAGGGGCTGGTGGCGGCGGTGGAGGTGACGCAAGATGCCTCAACTCCTTAAGCACTGGAGGCGCGGGAGGTGGTGGAGGAGGAACGGGATCATCCTCGTGAGAGCGTCGTCGCTCTCCGGGAACAACCTCTTCAATTCGTCCTACACTACTCTTGCGCCCGAAACGGGCTGGACGTTGGCCAGGCTCATCGGGAATTGGAGCCGACATGCTGCGAGGAATCGAGGGTCGAGATGGGGGCTGGTAGACAGTTGATGGCAACAGAGTCAGACTAGGCTCCGCGCTGGGCTCCACCTTCTCTGGAGATTGCTGAGGAGAGGTTTCTGGTGAGTGTCTCTGAGAGAAGGTGGCCGGGATCATAGGCATTTCAGGCCTGGGAGTGCTTCCAGACTGATCGTGATTGCCCTCAATAATAAGCCTCATAGCCTTTGGAGTTGCTGGAAGACCGATCACAGGGCCGTTTCGGGCGTACATGCTCCTCTGTGGTGGCTCTGTAGCGCTTCGGGGTGGGATATCATCGGATAGCTGCTTTGGCTCGGCCATCTCAACGGTGACTGCAAGGGCAGGAGAGAACTCGTTGGGATGAGGGATAGAAGGTGTTTGTGCACGCTTGGCCAATGACTTACGACGCTCCTCGAGCTCTCGGGCAGCTTGCTCCTTCTTTCGCTGGCGCTCATCCTTCATCTGCTTTAGGTCGCCGGCGTGCTCTGTAGAGGCAGCTCGACCATGAACAGGCATTGATCCGTCAAAGTTCGCCGCTTCAGAATTGGCCCTGCGCCGGCTCTCTGTGTTGTCCTGCTTACTCAGTGCTGGGGAGTTCAGGCCTCGGCTAGCGCTGCGGCTATGCTTGTTCCTGAATTCCTCCTGAGCTGCCATTGCTGCTCTGTAGTCCTCCTCGTCCTCAGAGCCCTGGTAGTGAGGTACAGTAGCAAGAGGAAGTGGAGAGGAAGGAGAACGCTGTACAGAACCGTCTCGGCCTTGGCTACGTCCACGGAGAGTCAAGGCTGGTGGGCGATTTCGACTATCGGGGCTCCTGCGACGGCTTGCTCGGCTTGACCCTCGGCTTCCAGGCTTCATGGTTGACCCGCTGACCTTGCGAACCGTGTTTGGCTCACCGACCTGACCATGTCGTGGAGTGCTTAAGTTCAAGAGATCCTCAGGAGACATGGGAATGGGTGAGGTCGGTGATCGCTTGGCTTTGGGCCATCCTCGAGCAGCGACCCGGCCTCGTTCCTCTGAGGGCTCTCTAGACCTGGCGGTTCGTTCGCGACTGCCCGGGCGGCTACGTGATGCATCCCGTGTTCTTGAGTGACTACGCTGGCGGCTTCGCTGTCTTTTGGAGAAGTGGTTGGCAGCGTCGAGACTGTGGATGTAGTCTTCTCGGTTTCGCACGGCTTGATGACGAAGACTTCGACCAGCGCTTGATGCAGAAGTGACGGAGCTGGTAACGGACGCCGGACCTCGACGGCGACTTGGCCAGTGGTAACGGGTCGACGAAGTAACCGAATGCTCCGGAGATGTTACTTCTTCATGGGAAACTCCAGGCTGCAGTTGCAGGTTGACGCCCAAGGGAATACGATCACGGGAACCATTCCGATGGTTACGTGATGCTTGCTGCATCTTCATCATGACAGTTTGATCTGGCGGTGGCGGAAATTCTCCTTCGGAAGGCTGAACAACACGCTGAGCATGCTCACGCATCATCATTGGGCTTGCTGTGGCAGCGCGCTGCAATGCAGAGCCGAACATCATGTTGTCATTGCCAGACGGGGTTCGGCCATGGCTGGATCGAGGTTCATAATCAGAAGGTGCGGCGGAAAGCCCTGCGGATCTTATCGCCTCCCTGTTGAGGTCCGATGGTATTTCTCCGATAGATGGTAATCGACCTCGGGCTCGAGCGGATACTGGTGTATTGAACCTGCTGTTGTTGGAGGGACGAAGGAACGCTGTCGTGGCCTCATTGTTGGAGGCGTGAGACAATGCAGGCGAGCCGGCAGAGTCGGCAATGGGAGTAACACCTGCAGCAATGGGGGTCTGGCCTCCATCACCAGCGAAAAACTTCGACTTCTGCGCTTGGTCGCCAAATGAGGTTATGAGTTTGAGTGCAGAAGTCTTAGCGATGCTTCGCTGGGGGCCACGTTGAACGCCAGGGGGAGATAGCGGCGGGCTCAGTATCTCAGGAATACTAGGAGTCATGGACTGAAAGTTGAGTTGGGCAGCAGATGGAGATGCCCAAGGCTCCGTAGACTCTTGGTCAGTACAAGCGAAACAGCGGATTGCCAGCTGTTGCTGACCATGTTGAACTGCCCATTCTCCCCACTTTCGAATGATAGCAGCCTGACGCTCCCATACACCAGGCGCGGAGAGGCATGTGAGGATCAGTGCTTCCATGTAACGCTTGTGAGAAACATAAACTTCAATAGCGTCGTTGTGCTCACCCATGCCAAGCATAATCGTTGCTGCAGCATGTACATCCCCGGACTCGAGCAGTCGCTGAACATAAGCTTGGCCGAGCTTTTGTTGAGACGCCTGACCCCCAATACCACTCAGTGCAAGAAGCATCCAGTCGGATGAGGTCATGTTTTCAAAGTTGGCATTCATGATGTTGGAATCAATATCACCGAGCCACTTGGCTAGAAGGATGCGGCTAGGAGACCCTTGAGGGTGTCTGCTCATTTCATCCCGGATCAGGTCCTCAATTTCCTTATTCCACCCAAAGATAGTGTTGAGCATCTGACGGCGCAGGTCGTCGTTAGTCAGGCGGGCGTTGTTAGAGCCCATGGCATGTTTGTATGGGATATCACTAAGACGAGCTCGTGTAAATTTGAAGAGATCATGGACCTTGTTATCGTCAGGGCTGCGGGGAACTTCGTTGCGTAGGCGAGAGGGTCTGCGGCGCGAACGGCTGGAAGCCATAGACGAAACGCTGGTAGTACCAAGGGAATATCCCATTGAGTAGGCATCCATGTCCCGCGAGTTGCCTTGGGCATTGCCGTTGCCGATGGTAGATGACCGAATTGAGGTTCCCGCAGAGATGTAAGTATTTTCTGATAAGCCCTTGGACCTCGTCGATTGAGGATAACGACCAGGGGTTTGGGAGGATCCTGTCGAGGATTGTGATAAGGATGAGAGACCACTTCGGCTGGAAACAGGGCTGGCTGATTCATAAGGTTCGTTCCCGGAGTCGTAAGCTTGGCGTCTAGTAAGGCGGGCGAACGGTGACAGATGATCTTCATCACTCTCGGAGATGTTCATATCCAAGGGGATTGAGCTGGACTCGGACTCGGAGGCAATAGTAGTGGCTGAAGTCGCCGACCTATCCCCCGTCTCCTCCGAGACTGGAGGTGATGGTGGCAACAAGTTTGCTGGATGCTGGACATTGGCGACCATAATAGCTGGCGAGTTGAGATCAAATTGCTGTGCCGTGTTGTTGGGGCCAAGAGTAAAAAGAGTGGCTCCTGGGCCATAGACGGCGAGACCTCGAACAAGGTCGAGAGTTGGAATGGGATCATGAGTGACGTGCTTTGTTCTGACATCCCATGATTGCGTTTGCCTATGTAGATGTTAATCAAGGGAACGGATCATGCAGCTAAGCGCGCGCGTAGCCTGGGGTGTTTTGTGGCAGTGGCGATCTGCAAGACTTACGAGTCGGAATACTGAATTATGCGACCGTTTTTGGACCAACCCATCCAATTAGGCCCGTCCATGGAAATCTCAGCTTTTCTGAGATTTCGAACAACTTTTGCAGGATCATCAGCACTATACTTCTTTGCCACGCTCCAGACGCGGAGGTCTCCATCCCGCATCTGAACCGCAAGCATATCCGACTTCTGTCGTGAGGAAGAAGCATGCCATGCAAGGTTGACGATTGGCGATGGTCCTCTAGAAGTAGTGAGATTATGTAGAATAGTAAATCGTGGCTGCAGTGTAGCCACAAACAGAGAGCCGTTTTGATAGCTGGATTCTTGTCAGTGAATATCAGGTGGAAATCAAGGGGCGGCTTACCCAATGGCAAATGTCCGACAATCAGATGAAGGAGCCAGTGCGGTTACGGCAATTTGGTCGATGGTTCGTGAAGAAACGTGTTCCGAAGTTGAAGGTTCAAACATGATAATGCTTCCTTTTGTGTTGCCTGCAAAGAACGGTCAGTGGTTATGCGGCCCGATTCACTCTAAAAACACATACCAAAAGCAACATTTCCGTTCTTCATCCATGCGGCGACAGTCAAATGTTCGTATGAGGCAAATCGAGCGATTTCATCACCCGTCATCAGGTCCCATACAATTGCTGTCTGACCAGCATCGTAACTTACAACCAAGCGACCGCCGCCACTTTCGCTTTGGTTGTCAACGGCCAATAATTGAACCTCATCGGCATGTCGTGAGAATCTTCGTTCGATAGTAAGGGTATCATGGTGGCAACAGACAACGGATGAGCCCTGGGCGTATAAAAACATTGAGGCCGTGGCGGCGCAAGGGTCAAAGTACTTGAGATCGGTAACGTGAGGCATAGTCGTGCTGTCTGGAACCTGAGAGGATTTGCTCCTTGCTGCAGACCTTCCTCCGGAACTTAATGATACGGTGCGATTCCGCGACGACGTGGCCACGGGGACGGACATGGTGGGCCTGATATCCTTTCTGAATTTCAACCTGCGTTTACGGAGCTTGCGTTAGCCAGTCGGATGACCAGAGAAAGGTACAGCTGCTAGGTCTGCTTGGGTGTTCGTCTTGTGCGACGCTGCACGTACTGTTCTGGTGCGAATCGATGTCGACAAGGAACAACCCCCCGATAGCGGGGTCTTTACGAATTGCTGCTCTCGAAGTCGCAGAAACAGGCGGAAAGCTACACTCAAGGGCTGTCTAACATGCCTCAGAATGTTCTACTGTCCGCACCCGGACAATGACGGTTTTCGATATTGCGGTGAGTTCAAGGTCTCGGATGGCGTTGTGCTGAAGTTTCGTCGTTGTGCAATACAGTCAAGCGGGTAGCGACGGCCAGGTGAGGTTGGACAACGAGTGGAACTCGTGAAGCTGTATGTCTTGGTCGCGATGGTGTGTAATAGGCGGATGCGGTGAAGTCTTCGGAATGCGAATTAGTGTGAGATCAAGAAGTTGAGAGAGTAGAGTAGGAACACGCGAGGAGGCGTAGAAAAAGGATAGACGTGTGTGGGGAGATGGGCAAAGCTGTGGTTTTGCTCGTCGAGAGTAACCTCAACCAGGGCAACAGTTTGAGAAGGACGCTAGAGGCGCAAATCGGCAACAGTAAGAGTGCAACCGCCTCCCCTGCTCAAGCTGGATGTGATTGCATGGGGTCGGACAAGGCCAAATAGAGATGAGCGTTCAAAGTGGTCAAGGTCAAAGTGTAGCTGCCAGGAAGAGCTTGGTAGTGGATGCGGATAGGGATGGGATGTGAAAAGGGTGTGACCCGGCGCTTCACTTGCAGCTGTAGCTTGAAATCCCTTGGGAAGATGGTTCTAGGGTCCATCAAACTTGTGTAGGTGCGTTTGTGTGCGCTTGTATGCTGAGCGACTACATGTGACTAAGACGGGTGAAGGAGTATGTTACAGACACTGGATCGGCAATTGGGGATATAGGAGGATGGAGTGTTTATGAAATTGCAATCTGAGAAGAAGAATTGATGTCCTTACCTTGATCTTCTTTTCGTTGTGAAGTGAAGCAAAAGTTGATCAGTCGCTTACTTGGTGGTTGGTGGAGTTGTGGTATCAGGGTTGACGTTGGAGCTGAAGATGTGACAAATGTGATTGAGGCGACACAAAACCAGGACTCGAGGATAGAGGCACAATGCAAAGCAAAGCAAAACAAAGGCGAAAAGAGAAGACTAGGAAGAGAGAGGGAGGCCCAAGAAGGAAATTCAGACCAGAAAAAGTGCAGGTTGGGATGATTTTGAGAAAGAGACAGACACAGGGTTTAATGGCAGTGTGCTGTGTGATGGTCCATCCATCATGGGTCAAGGTCGGGGTTCAGAGTCAGAGATGGCGCCTAGAGAGTGGCGTTCTGGCCTGTCAGTGGACGCTTGAACCAGAGACCGATATTAAAATAGAGCCTTGCGAACGTTGGGTTGACTGGATCAGCGGAGACGGACCGGCTTATAGGCAGTATGGAACCCAGGGGTCAACATGGAGGATGGTCGACAGCGGCTGGGGATTGGGAGCTTGAGCCTTGAGCACCTTTTCTTCCCATGGTTTGGACTCGAGCTAACAGTCCGAGTGGGGAAGAAAAGCTGCAGAAGACTAGGATCCCCTCTTGCACAGTAGCCAGGGTTCTGAGCATGCCATAGCACTAGCATGGCTTCAGACGCTGGTTTGAAAGACGCCAGTTGAGGCGGAGGCGGTCACTTTTGACATGAATGGATCATGGCCGGCGGCTGCAGTCTTGTCATCCATGACGAACAATGTCCAACGTGGACTGCCATCTCATCGCATCGCATCGTCGACTGTGGATCTTTGGTTAAAGACAAGGCGAGTCGAGTCGACCATCGGCGAGTCGCAGCAGTCCCCTGCCAAATTTAGCCTCGTGGGTTGACCGCGTGCCGTTGAATTCAATTCTCTCAATCAATCGTTGGATGGCGCATCAAATTGTGTGGTCCACTAGACTCAAGGGGACCCCTGTAAATCTCCAGATCCATTCCGACCTCGAGACTCGACCTATCAAACAATCAATTGTCTTTCATTATTCGCGGACAAGCAGTAACTCTTTATCATGGAGGCATTCCTTGGTCTTGGTGACCTCGGTCGTCATCTCATCCAAATTTCATCTTGAATTTGCATTGATAACAATCCATCAATCAGGTAGAGAAGCCGCCGCCGCCCCTCTTTTGCTAAGATGGGCAAGAGAAAGCATCCATCCAATGCAGGCGACGTCCGGTACGACTTGAGCGGCAACTTCTCAAGCATTGCAGCGCAGCGCAGGACAACACAGCAGACAGAGCACAGCGTCCTCCCACGCAGCTAGTGCAGTAAAGAATAGGCACCACGACATGATATGCTCGATCCAGTTGTGTTGGGTATGATTGAAACAAAAGACTGGTCGGTGCCTTACATCTCAATCTGCGCGCCTAGCACAGCATTGCTCCAAGAAGCATCACGATGCTCCTTTTTCAGGCACTGTAGAAGAGGGTTCTTTACTCTACAGTGGGGGTGCACTGAAGCTGTAGAGGCATTCCATTCCATAAAGTCGGTTACAATGAAATACAAAGCGAGCTGTCCAGTCTCTAGGTATTGATACAAAATACAGACAGACAGACAGACAGACAGATAAACAGAGTCGATCTGCGAGATGAAGGAGGATGAAAGCTTATGGTTGGGGAAACGAAGCATGGGGGGCTTGAGCAAGCGCTTGTATGCTAACATTGATTGGCCAGAGCTAGCCACCCCGCTTGCCAAAGATGTGCTACAGCTTGTTTCTCGGCGCTTATTGGACACGCTATCTAATCGGGACGGGCCAATAAGCCGGCCGATCACCTTTGTTGCAGGGACTTAATCGCCCTCTCCTTCCCGTCCCGCTAGCGAAGAGGGTCTGTACCCACATTATTCCAACGGAAAGAGCAGAGAGCTTTAGTACCTACGGATACCCGACCTATCTATATCGACCAAATCTCTGAAATCAGAGCATCACGTTGTTGCTTGGCGATAATATCGAATCATGATAGAAACTGAACAGGGCTTCCTTGGACTAGACTCAGTTATCAATGTCGCTCGGAATTTCAAGTTATTTCGGCTCCCACCCAGTGTTCTTTAAGCATGGGCTGATATCTAGATACATAGTCAGGAAGCTACTGCACTTGGACGCTCCACTTTTGACCTCATTCGATAAAGGGAAAGAGAGTCTGGATGTGAATGTTTTCACGCCCAATAGATTACTTATTGTTAATTAGCAACTGCCTTGTATACTTTGTCAAGACTCACCGTGTACAGTATCCGTAAAGGAGACGAGACAGGCCAGGCATCTAATTGTGTCGTCGCCTTCCATCCTCAAACTTCTGTTGAAGTGTGGATCTCTCTTTCCTCTCCACCTGCATACACGATTTCTTCTTTACTTTTCCCGTGCCCCTGGTCACTCCCGTTCCAGTGTAACCTCACCCACACACAGCACCAGCCTAGATGCATTTCTACCGTGAATATCTCTGTTCCAAACTTCAACATTGCGTCTTTCACTAAGCCTTCAATGACTTGGGTCACGTCTGATACACGTCAGCTTGCTTGTCCTATCAACGCATGCGGAGTTTTGCATTGAGAGACTGCTGGAATCGGAGATCCTTTATCAGACAGTGAACATGACGTTGGAAGTTGGTTGTTTGTTGGCCCTTGAACTAGCTGCTTATTTCTTTATTTGGATCTGCCAAGTTCGCGTGGGGTACCGGGTGAAATATTCACCCAGACGCTCAAATGACATTTCGATATCTGCAAACAATGAGCATCTGTAGTGATTGCGACTGCAGTTGTCTTTTGAAGCTATCCGGTGAACCTCATTTATGCACCAGCCCCGTGCGATCCCTCTGAACTCGACTGATGCAAGAGAGAGAAGGAAAAGAAGAGGGCTTCCCTCGTCCCTGAATCCCCGTTGGAGCCTTTCTTCCGATGTTTGTCTCAGAAGCACGCGGCCAATACAGGCAACTCGAATTGCTTATTTAGATTTAGCAGCCCTACTTGAAGAGCATGTTCCCTGTCATATATGCACATTGGCATCTCCAGTCTCTTCCTAGGCACGCGCTTCGAGTCCAGCAAGCGCCTCTACCTAGCAAAGTTTCGGCTAGGAGCAAATGTTTGCAGTATATGCTGTTCACTCACTGTGCCTCTCCTAATTGAGTAGACTTGCCTCACTCTCCTCGGTTCCGATGGACAGGTTCTGTGAATGCACATTCTACCAGCCGGGCATATCATGGGTAGCGATTGGACGAAGTCTCGCTATCGAATACACCTATAAGAAGTACTAAGGACTGTCAGATCACTCTCAATCACATTGGAGTGCCGTAAAGCTGTATCGTTTTATTGATACACACAGGCTGGCCTGTATGGTTCGGGACTGATATTGAGATGCAGATATGAACAAACTACTCCGCAGTGTGACTGGGCTTGGGCGCCACTGACCAAGAACCCTTTCCGACCTATTCCCAACTTTATTATCCCGGTCAACTAGATGGACCTGGCCCTGGCATGTCTGGCCTCATAACCCAGGCTACCCCAGGACTGTCTCAATCCTTTATCAGGGTTTGCTGCAGCCTCACACGGGTTGCGTCTCTTCTTTTCTATTTTATGGGAGCGGATAACTGCAGACTCATGATGAGAAGGACACTCCGCCTTCCTTTCTTTTGATGCACCTGGCGGTTGCAGCTCGTTTATGTCGTCCTACACAATTCACCTTCGTCGTCTTCAATAACAGCTTGACTCGCCACTTCAAACTTTTTGAGCGGATTGATCAGTGCATTAACCTGCGATTTCATCACAGTATTTCCCCTGTTGATTGTAACAGGCTGCCCCTAGTTGAGGGACATTCTTGACCCGGTCATAGAGGCTCCGCTCGTCTCTTTCGCGCATTTGATATGCCAACTGGGGTATTGGCACGCCATGGTATAAGCTGCGGCCCAAACCGCGGCCAAGCTGATGGATGGTAACTATCACATTAATAACGCCACGCTTAGAAAGCCTGTGATTCCTTTTCTTTTTACCGTTTTTCATTATTTCGGTCACTGACTGGCGGCCGCCTTTCTAAACCAAATCAGCCAGGGATGAAACCAGCAGAATAAGATTGGTGTATGCAACATCGTACGCGATTGGTAGCGATATCGTTTTGGTGCCCATCAAAGCTACATTTGGCCTTGTTGGCCAAGAGCTCAGCTTTGAGGACTCGACCTCATTAATGACAAGGGATGTGAGTTATTGGGCCAGTTTCAATATCTCCTTGTTAAGTCCAGAGCTTGGTCAGGTTGTATTCCTAAAACGGTGAAGCTACCATAAAGAACTTCTGATCCAACTGCAGTTACCAGTTAAGATTGCATCAGCTAAGAGCTCAAGCATGACCGTCACTAACATAATACCGTTCTTATTGGTAAGTTGGTTACAATCCCAATCCCGGAACTGTCGGCAACAGGAAACACGACTCGACGTCCTTTGTAGCAGAATTTTGTTGACAGGAAAACATTGCGCTGTATATATACTTGATGGCCAGTTCTAAAACTTGCCTGGCCGAGTGGCATATGTGACAAGTTGAGAGTTAATAACGTCCCGTGAAAGGGCAACGGTTGGTATTGAAAGCCAAACACTCATCTTACTTGGTCCCTATTCCGGTACCGTTATCGACGATTGTGCTTCTGTCACATTTGACTCAATACAAGTGCATATCGAGTTCACCGTCTTTGGCTTGTAGTTTCTGTGAGACTAGGATATATGCCATACCTATGTGACGAATTGGAAGCTGGGCCTGTGAAGTCCCTTGCATTGTCTTCCATCAATTCGCGTGGCTTCAGGCTTCCCCGCAATTAGATCATAACATTCAAGAGGATCTCACAAGTAGATCACTATCCCCTTGCCAGCAGTTTTAAGCACCCCTTCTCGAGACGTTGGCGATGCATGTAATACAACACATTCTGTACATTGCAGCATGAAGCTGCACTAAAGAATATTGAATATGACTTGTTTTGATCGTCATCCAATTGGATTAAACCCGACTCCGCGGTGGATTCGATATTGTGCATGACAGGGGTGTGGGTGCCATGGATAGATAGTCAGAGCCTCGACTCGACTCGATCCATACGGATGAGAGGAAGAAGATCTCGAATCTGTAAAAAAAACTTACATGCGGGGGCGACTTCCAATGGCGGACGTTTTACGTTGGCCATTCTCATAGCCATGTCTCAGATTGAGCCTTCGTATTATGCACATTATAACGTTGGAATAAATAGTGTAAGTGGACTGGTCTCCAATAGATGTTTTAAGTGATGCAAGATTCCCAAGGTGGAAACTTGACGTGGAACTGCATATTTATTCTTGGGTCTTCATGCAGTCGTATCAGAAGTGAGTGCCTCGAATCTTGTTAGTAGCATAGCCTCACTTTTCCTTTGTATGTTGGTTTGAGTTGTGTACTTTCTACCGCGTCTTTGAGGGGAGTGGCTAATCTTTCATAAAGGCACAGTCAAATGTTTGATTCAGCGCAGATGTAATAGATCAAAGCCTAAGAATTAGACGTCGAAGTCGCTTCATAGCTTCTTTGTATGTACGAGGAGGTTCCGCGTGGTGTTTTGCATTTATATGAGCCATATATATTCTCCATGACGAACTTTGCTACTGTAATAATGAGCCCTACTTGGTAATACCAGACTTCTTGTAGACTTTACTGGCCTTTGCTACTCTTTGAAGAATTGTCGCGTCCTTAAGCATCGCAGTTGCCGAGCAGCTGATAGTTTAGCAAGATAAGCCAAGCCAGATTATCGACGTTGCCCTGCAGGAAAGAAGCAAACGGGGGTTCTTGGATGCCATAAAGTAACTTCGATAACCCAAATTAAAACCCATTGGGTTCGTGCTTGTGAACTACTCGAATATGCTGCTTAGATACTAAGATATATGGAATGACCTGCAACTGAGCGTGCTCAAGCCTAGCAAGATCCCATGCTTTTTCCGTCTCTACGTCGCAGTCTCAATTGTATACTATAGTAATGATTAATATAATCCAAGTCACATATAGTCAGATGGTTTATAATTGTCGCTTTTGTAAGGGTTCAGCAGTTGGTTACTCGACTGGTGCTAAACAACAGCAGAATGACACGCCCGCATTAATAAGGAGCGCACTTTCAATTCCAAAGCTAGTTAAAATTACAGTAAGCTATCTATGCATGTACATATATACAACTGGTAGCAAAAACAAAAAGTAACTCCCCCGGGAAGGCTCGAACTTCCGATCTCCCGATTGTCTATGGATAACAGTCGGACGCTTTAGCCAACTAAGCCACAGGGGATAGCTGATTGGATGATAAACAGGTGACACAACACCAACTATATCGAACTTCTGTATGTTTTTCTCTCAGTTATGCATTTTGGGATATAGGTTCCGTGATATGTTTTCTTGGGTTGTATTATACTATGCATCTTATCTATGATGTTTCTCCACGCTACGATGGGATGTTGCTCCGATGCTCTGGTCTGGCGTCTAAGTCAACTAACCAGTCAGATTATCACTTGAGAGACTACCACACACCTAACGTTGGATTCCTATCGTCGGGTCGCTTTTTCCTCTTCTGCCTTAATACATCATCTTATACAGGGCTCATATACATTTGCCCGCTACTCTCAAGCCCTCGCTATCCCCATCTCGATATCACAACACCCAACCCTACAAGACTCAAGCCTGAGACTTGGACTTGAACCCTTGTCCGATCCAGTTCTCAACATGGAACTGATAGATCTCTTTAGCCAAATCCTCCACAGGCCCCTCGACCTTAATTCTAGGAGCAACTTCGTTGATGCTCAGTGGTGCAACCGGACCCTTGACTCCAAACTCGTCCTTCCATGCTTCCAACTGCTTCGTTGAGGAAATATACACGATCCTTCCAAGTCCACACCACGCGTGAGCAGCAGAACACATCGCGCAGTGCTCTCCACTTGTGTACACGGTGGACTTGGCGCGCTCTTCAGCGCTAAGGTTGAGCTGTGCCCACCGTGCAAGAGTGAACTCTGGGTGTAAAGTTGAATCAGGGCGGCCATCGCCGTTCGCACCTGTGACGGTGCGATTGCGGTCCGTTTGAAGGACTCTGTTGTCTGAAGATACGAGGACAGAGCCGAAGGGGGCGTCGCCTGCTTTGAGAGCCTCATGGGCGAGTGAGACGGCGAGGCGGAGGTGTTCTTGATCTTGTTCGTTGACCATTATGACAATGCTAGGTATGTTCGCTGTTGCGTAGGCCTTTATTGAGGTATTGTTTTTGTGGTTCGTGTTTATGGTCCAAGATTGAGTTGAGTTGTAAGAGTTGAGTGAAAACCAGATTCCCCGGTGTCTTACCAAGTTCGTGATGCGGGGAAGATGATGATGACAATTCCACATTCGGCTCAGGTTCATCTCATAACCATACAGCAACCTTCCGTCTATGATACTGAATATGAGTGCTGTCTTACTAGTCCAAATCATGAATGAAGGCTTAAGCTATAGACTTAAAGTCAGGGAGATAGGGATTGCACAATCAGTATTGCCAGGGGAGCAATATCACCGAATGATTCAACTCATGAATGAATAAACCCCCGAGCTATACATTCATGTCATCACAGGTTCTCCATCACAGTATTGCCCTATAGATATACCCTAGTCATTCCAGTTTAAGTTCTATGAAGCTTTGTCACCTGTAGCCCCATGATCCTGGAGAATCATGAGAGAGCACCATGGATTTTCAGTTAAAGCCATCATTTGTCATAGGTATCATCTCAAATACAAAGACGTAACACCTTGTGAACACCGGTAGCAGAGTATTCGATACCAATACCACGTTACAGTCTTGCGTGACATATAGGGCAGGTAGTGACTTCGTCGTCCATATCCATCCAGTGTCCTAAGATCTATAGAACCTGTACAGAACATGGCTTGACATATGAAGCGAATTCTAAAACAGAAACCGGGAGAAACTCCGCTCTCACTGGATCAGAATTTATTGTTGTCGCGAGGTATCAGTTGTCAAGTGTCTGAATGAACTGACGGTGAAACTTATCTGTCAACAAGATTCAACCTTACTTATACAGGAAACAATAGCCAGTTGTTCTTCTCCATGTTATTCTCTTGTCTTGAAGTTGTTTTGATAGCAGTGTTACCATTAGCTACTTGCAGAGGGCAGGAGCGAGGATGCCAACATCGTTTCTGTACAAGAGTCAGTACTGCTATGACATACTTACTCATGCCCAATCTCTCTTAAACCCTCATCATTTGCCATAGACTTGATTTACTTGGTTCTTCGCCTTTCGTGCTGGTGCTATATAACAGTATCGAAATGCCCAACAAGACGAAGCATCAATAAGCATTTCTTTTCAAGCTCACAAACACCATATCCTATTTGCCCTGAATAGTGTATCGAGTACTCTCCCTATTTGCTCTACTCGATTTTACTCGCTCTTAATTTTGATACATCTGCTTTGACTTTCCGTTCCAATGTATGCACGCTATGCTTCACGATCTTGGATAGCACAACTCCTTCAGCTCCCAACTTTAGTACAGTTCTATTCGAAACCTAACACTATGAAACACATTTCAAGCGAATCTAGTGGTATAAGCTCCCGTTTCAACTCTCCTAGTTCGTTCTGTGTTGGTTCCTGAGTCAAACCTTAGGCTGTTAAACCGACAATAACAGTCAAAACAATGCAATTTAAACTCGTAAAGCCACACAACAAACTAACTTAACTGAGCTTTCTCTTGAACCAACAAAAGCGATAACCTTTCTATTCTCGCTTCTTTCGCGATTTGGCTTCTCGCGACTGTATTCAATAATAGGTTCCCCATCCGTGCTTTGCGCCCGCTTAATTACACTACCTACACCAACACGATACCTCCCGCACAAGGACAAAGCCATGATTATATCAACACCCATCTTAATTCCCAATATAGCTCTCCACGTGAATTTTTTTTGTCTCTTATCGCCGATTCAAAAAATGCATCTCGAGTTTGAGCTGCACCTCACCGCCCTCGCGACCCCACGGTAAAGGCGTCAGGACGGTCCATGTGACAAAGCTGCTTGACTTGAAGCCCGCGGCACGGGACGGCACCACGGGCCAAGCTAGAAAACAAAGAGCGACCCTATTGTCGCCAGTATTCGATAGATATTCGTTAATGGATGATTCTTATTGGTAGATAGCAAAGTTGTAGCACACGCTTTTAAGAGCTTGGAGCTGGGCGCTTGATTGTTGCCAAGATTGCTTTGCTTGCACACAAGGTTTGCTATAATATGGTCAACGTTCAAAGGGTTAAAGGACCATGTCAGCCTCCAGTCACGAGAGGGCAGGTTCATGTCACATGAATGAGAGACAAGAGTTCGTATGTTTTGAGATGTATGCCAAGTAAAATTGTTGATGCTAACTAAGAGGGTATCTCGAAAATCAAAAGGCAGGCACAAGGCCGCCAAACTATCCTAAGGTATCTAAATGTCCATGCTATGTCGCCGTTAACCATGCAATGCTGTGTGGGTGCAATTCCTGTGCCCTAATGTCCTGTTCCCAAGTATGCACCAGCTAATTCATCCCAGTGATGGGAGGCTGATGCGAAAACCTGTACTGTATCCAGTGTCCCATGCCCTAATGATGCAAACCAAAGACCATGCAATAAATAAAATAAACTCCATCCATGTATGCTATCCACCGAAATGGTGGTGTGCGAAAATGAAAACAAGATTAAACTAAATAGGCTCGGTGAGCCGAAGATAAAATGTCGGCTTCATAAAAGCCTCAACAGAAACGAATAGATTGATGCGACGTACGCGCAAGCGGATAATGAGGGATTCTTGGCCGGGCCGCAATGCGGGGGAGAAAGGCCAACGGTAGATGGCCGAACTCGCCGACGGACCGAAGAAGTAGAAGGTGTCAAGATGGGGGATGAGGGCTTCCATACAGCCGGTCCGGGTCATGGCAACGTTTCTCTAGAATGAAGAGAAAGGTTCGGCCGCGATCGGGAACTATAGATGGATGATGGTTGTTGATTGTTGTTGTCATCCATTCCTCAGTCTTGGCTTCTTCTGTTCTGACTCATTCTTGGTTGGGTAACCCCCACCCCCACCTGTGATTTGCTGGGTCCAAAGGCGGTCTACCCATGGCGTCATCGACCAAGGCTGTAGTGGTGTAGTCGCCTACCGAAAATCAAGCCGGCGGTTACAAGTCGATCCCGAGGGTAGCTGATTAAGGTTGTCATTTTAGTGAGTGACAGTTTGTTGTGTGGTTCGGAAAGATGTCCATCTCCAGATGATGGAATAGTGGTGTAGGATAATCCGGCATGTGCGTTTATTGTTGCGCACATGCGAATGTTGTTGTGTGGGGTATCATGGGGTATCATATTGCCATGTAATGCAAAAAGCAGCCTGAAAAGTTGTTAGTGAATGATAATATGCTTTGGTGTTGTGTTAACATACGCTATCATGAAATCGTAACAGTCATTAAGAAGATTCCAAAACTTGTTTACTCAACAGCCTCCTCATCGATGGAGGTGAGCTTGGTCTTGGGGCTCTTCTTGTGAGAACTGCTACGGCGCTGCTTTCGTGCGGCGGCACGTCGACGCTCCTTCTCAAGGGCAACAACGCGAAGGCACTCGCGCTGGATGGCAGCCTGGCGTTCGCGCTCAGCCTGGAGAAGCTCAAAGTCGGAGATGACGTTGGGAGGTGAAGCCATGGCGCCTGGAGAGGAGCTCCCGGCACTGGAGACGCTCTGAGCATCGTCGTCGAAGGGATCGGAGAGGAACAAGTCGTCGTCGGAGAGATAAGAAGTGGGTCGTTCCTCACGATCAGACTCGGAGAGAGAGTCACGTCGGGGCCATGAGGGGAAAGCGCAGGCGGAATCCTGAGATCGGTAGATGTTGCGCGACGCGATGTCCATGGGCGCAGAGGAAGCGCACATGGAGCTGATGGAGCTGTATGAACCGAACATTGTTGCGGTGATTGTGGTGATAGGCGAGGTGTTTGTCGTGAATGAAGCTCAAAGAGCTGTAGCTGTTGCTAAATAGCAAGTAGTAAAGTGTTGATCACTTGAAGTTCTTTGTTGTTGACGGCAGATAAATGGATCCTCGAGACGAAAACCTGGGGATGCGGGTAGATATAAATGAATGAAGCAAGACGGGCAGGCAGCCGACTAAGGGAGGCCAGGGGCGTGTGAGATGAGATTTGATCGGGTTTCTGGGTGTGGAATGGATGATTTGCAATGCGCTGGGGGTGAGGAGGGTGTGCGGTACGGTTGAAAAGTAAAGGGGTGGGGTGCGACCGAGAACGGGTGCGAGGGCGGGTCCAAGGGTCTTCTTTCCTCGTCTTCTCTGTCGGTCTCCGGGAAAGAGGGCGACTGCTGAATTCTACCGAGGTGCTGTTCGGTGCGGTAGGCGCAGGGCAATGTGGGGGTACAGTTAGACAGAGAGGGGGCGTGGCGAAAGAGGAGAAGGAGCGGTGGGAACTTCGAGTCAGAGGGAAAATCAGGGCGATACAGCGGCTAAGAGGGCGACGGAGCGGATACAACGCCTGTCAGGGGGGGTGGCCGAAGCGGATCCGTGGGGAGGGAACGAGAACAACAAGGAAAGGAAGAGTCAGAGATACGGTAAGTTTATGGGTCTGTACCTGTTCTCTATCAAAGAATTCGCCAAGAAGTCTTTTTTCCTTTTCCTTTGGAGGTGAAGGAGCTTATCGCGCTCGGGTCAAATTGTCCAAAGAGCCGAGATCTGGCCGTACAGTACAGTACAGACAAGGCCGAATTATTCCAGAACCAGGTTTCTAACAGAAGATAGAAAATGAAATAGCGGAGAGACGAAAATACCAAACCTCGTAATGGATGGTTACTCGCGTTTGTTGTTGTGCTGTGTTGCCGGCGGTGTTTGAGCTGAGTAGAGCTGAGCTGTGCCGCAAGTATAGTATAAACTTGCTTTGTAAAGGTGACGAGAGGCGAGACAATTAGTGATACTGATGCTGATGCTGATACCGATACCGATACTGTCACCGACTGTAAAAAAGGAAATTGGTGAGATAAGCAAAGCTTCATATGGACGACAGCATTTACGGATACCTACGTTACAAGCGACAGATCAACAATAACACAGCACCGCCGTATTGGACCAAACCGGGCATCACTCCAAGACAATCTGCTCCCGTCCAAGACATCCATTATCCAAACCTGTTTGCTGGCAATGATTTGATCGCTTTTGATCTCGTC